CCGGAACTCAGCATCGCCTTCGATTCGCCGAATCGCACCTTGCGGATCTATTACATCAGCACGAATTTCAAGTCCTCGACTTTAACGGCTACGGGAAGAATTTCATCACCTCAATGGGCTTCTCGCCTGATGCATTCGTTCAAATGGCATTCCAAGCCGCTTACTACGGCCTCTACGGCCTAGTAGAGAATACGTACGAGCCAGCGATGACCAAGTTCTTCCTCCACGGGCGCACGGAGGCAGTCAGAACCGTATCCCACGAATCCGTCGAGTTTGTGCGAACGTTCTGGGACGAGCGTCCCGCAGCGGAGAAAGTAGCGGCCCTCCGAAAAGCTACAGAAAAACACACCGCAGTTACCAAGATCTGCTCGCAAGGCAAGGGTCAAGACCGACATCTCTACGCCCTCTACTGCCTCTGGCAGCGCTCCTTCGATGATGGACCACCGAGTGCGAACGGCTATTCGAGCCCCGTCGAGAATGGTTCAAAGGTCGACCCCTCTTCGCCGCTACGAGCACAGAGCTCCACCACCGTCTCCCGCCCATCTTCCTCATCTGGCGACGGCGTATCCTCCAGTTACTCCACCAGCAGCTCGCGCAACATCCGTCTCCAACAACTCGCCCACACCCCGGCCCTCTTCAACGACGCCGGCTGGGACAAAATCAACAACACGATCCTCTCCACTTCCAACTGCGGCAACCCCTCGCTGCGCCACTTCGGCTTCGGCCCCACCTCCGGCGACGGCTTCGGCATCGGCTACATCATCAAAGATGACTCGATCTCCATCTGCGCCTCGTCCAAGCATAGACAGACAACCCGCTTCATCCAGTCCCTCGAAGCGTATCTGTACGAGATTCGCAAGCTGCTGCGCTCGACGCAGCACAAACCCGTCGTCCCCAGTAGTGTGCGCGAGCGGCAGATGGATGCGGAGGCTCGCAGTGCGCCGCTGGCGGTGACGCTTGGAGAGCGGGTGAAGGGAAAGGGAAGGATGGTGAGGGTTGCTCCGCAGCATGTGGTTGGTGGGGGGAGGGGAGGGGAGACGCCGATGACGGATAGTGCGGAGGCGGAGGCGGAGGATGATGGGATGGGTGGATGTAAGTTCAAAAAAATCTTTACTTTCTTTCCTTCTCTGTCAGGCTTCTTTGCGTCGTTGTTATGAATACTAACTGGGGACTCCTTTACATATAGATGGGTTCTTCGATGCCGGGATGCTGCTATATGCGCTTAAGGGGCTGCAGGCAGATAGAGATCGGGATAAGCCTCCGAAGCGGAAGCTGGTAGGGAAGGTGTTGAAGTTGAATGAGTATTGATTGATTGACTGATTGGTTGGTTGGTTTTGATTATGTTGATTGTGTCTTTTGGTTTTCGGCTTTGATGTGATGATGACCATATTAATATAAATATTGCATATCACTACCGGGCATCATTGGTCTTGTTTCTTGCTTGACTTGCTCTGCAACAATACATAGCATAGGTTTTACATCTTATTGTAGCATACCAAAAGCATAGGTTTTACATCTTATTGTAGCATACCAAATAATATCTATATATATATATACTCTTTCTCCGTTAGATTATCGGTTTACTTTATTATTTTCCTCTCTAGTTTTCCGTGTAGCAATAGTAGTACACTATAGTACAGTACAGCACAGCACAGCTTATGCTACGATTAGAATGAATAACTAACTACCCCGTCAAGCTGGTGATGAATTCAATGGCTGGCGCGGCATCTGCATCGTTATGTCTATTCAGCTGGGAATTGGTTCGGGGCCGTTTCAAGAAGACGACGTCCGCCTCGAATCTCAAGATCGGCAGGGGCTTCTGTCTTCAATTTCCTCCCCGAGAGAGAGGGGGAGAGAGATGGTCCTTTTTTCTTTCTTTCTTTCTTTCTTTCTTTCTTTTCTTTTCTTTTCCCTTTTCCCTTTTCCCTTTTGCCCCCTTTTTTCTTTTGGGGCGGGGGGGGGGGGAGCGTTCTTACTTGCCACACACTCTCTGGCATTGGGGTGGAACTGGGATTTGGGAAATTTATTTTTTTTTAAGTTCTTCTGAAGTCTCAGACAGAATGAATTTGAAAAGAGCAGTCTGTGCCTTTATAAAATAAATTAAAATAATAATAGAGTGAAAAAAATAAATAAATAAATAAGCAAGGAGAAAAAAAAAAAAAAAAAAAAAAAAATGCGACACGGACAAGATTCGAACTTGCGCACCCGAAGGTATGAGATGATCGTATCCAGTGGCCGCGGGAACCTCGACAGTTCTGCGGGGGATTCAAGTCTCACGTATTAACCACTCTACCACCGTGTCAAGTTGCGGATGTCTTGTGGGCCCGCTGAGTAGTATTTATCCGCTAGCTCTGCCAACTCGTTTTGTCTTTTGGCAAACTTTGAGTAAATTTTTGTGTAAATTAACTTACTACAGAACAGAAATATTGAATTAATATAAGAGAAAATGTGCTGTCTGGTATAAATAGAGAAACACAGAATAATTCTAGTGATATACAGTTAGACTGACTGTGTGATTATATCTGAGATCAGATGTGGCATCTACTCTTGCTACTTTTCAGAGCTTCTGCTTCATTCTTATTCCCCTTATTCAGAAGCTTCACCTCTACTCCGTATTCCACTATTCTCAGGGGCTTTCACTTCTTCCCCTATTCTACTATTTCTCAGAGCTTTCACTTCTTCCTTCTTTCACTCCCAATCACTTCTTCTGTTGACTCAATCATGATAAACAAACAACCATGGATATATATATAGAAGTGAGTGCTCACTCATCTCCATCTGAAGGGGAATAAGAGAGATTTTACCGTACGCTGCAATTCTACACGTAGCTGGCGTACGCCCCAGTCTAGTCACCAGTGTTGCGTCTTCTCGAAGGCGGAGCGGAATCTAAGGGGACAGAGGATCTGATTCTTAACTAGACATGCTACCAAATTGCGGCGTACGCCAGCTACATGTAGAATTGCAGCGTATGCCAGCTATGTATAGTCCATGTAAAGTGGTAAAATCTCTCTTATTCCCCTTCAGATGGAGATCAGCAGGTGTCCCTATATATATATACATGCTTATTCGTTTAACATGATTGAGTCAACAGAAGAAGTGATTGAGAGTGAAAGAAGAAACAAGTGAAAGCTCTGGGAATTAGTGGAATAGGGGTGGAGCTACGGGATAGGGGAATAAGGATGGAGCGGAAGCTCTGAGAAGTAGCAAGAGTGGATGCCATAGTCCCCTTGTCTGATGGAAAACATGAAACGCCGCGGGCGCGTCAACACTCCATGACGGTCTCCTGTTCTTCACTAACGATCGCCTCTGTATTACACAAACCTTGGCTGGAGACCTCATTCGCTTGTAAGTTGTGCCACGATGCGGCCGGACGCCCCAGGCTTCATTGAACAGAAGACATCGTGCGCCAATCCTTCTTCTTACCTTACACTTGTAAATGAATCCTTGATCACATCTCACAATCTGAAGACTTATGTATAAATATTCATTCAAATCTATCTTAAGAACCTATGTCAAGAAATTTCAAAGACATCTGTTTTCAAGATTAATCTTGATGATCTCATTGATGATCTCATCTGCTACAAAACAGTTATTAGATTAAATGATAATAAAAAGAGAATATCAGTAAAAGAAGTTAAAAAGAAAAAGAATAAGAATACTGAAAAGACTAAAGAAACAGATAAGCTTAAGAAATAGCAGTTTACAGATAATTAAAGAGAAAACATCTTCTATATTTAATAGAAAGACATATTTAACTTAGATCTTAAATGTAAATATTACAGTTACTGAAATTACACTGAAACAGTTTATATAAGAGGTCTATGCTAAATAGATCAGTATTAAGATATAGATCTTATATAATAAAAGTGAAAAACATTAGAGAAGGAAAAAAAGAGAAAGTGAGAGAATTAATAATCAGAGTGAATATTTATACATGTACAAGATAAAGCTTTAAAGTAGAAGAATAGAAACTTTATATCAGAGCTTTCAGACTGAGAATTAATTAGTAACTGAAAATCAGAGCTTTCAGCAGAAATCTATGAAGTGTAATAAAATAGTCTATATAATTAATCAGATACAGTTCATTATATTAATTCTCTCTTTTTAAAAGTAAGTACAGTTCTTATCAGTTAAAAGTCACTATATTAGATAGTACTAGACTGACTGCTGAGACTATGAATTTCATATTTAATCTTATTTAATCTGATTTTATACATTTCTTAATATGAATCTCACTAGACTGACCGTGTGACTGTGTCTGAAACTAGAATCAGATTTTTTGATAGTCTTATTATCAATTCAACTGATCTCATTACACAGTTTTAATATTAGATAGTAGTCTTATACTATCTCAGTGAGACTTACTGTCTACTTTTATCACATTTTTCAAATGAGATCATGATTTTCACTTCTTAATTTAAATTATTTTTATTGCTTTAAATGACTTTAAATCTCATTTGAGTATTATTAAAAAGTGTTACTTTTTAAAAAATTAAAAATAGTCTAAAAAAACCTTAAAATATCTAAAAATAGTAACTTTATATCAAGAATGAAACTAAATGAAATCAAATGAAATCACTTTCTTATTTTTTTCAAGTCATGGTTTCATTTTAAGATCTGATATATAGTCACTTTGCATGTTTTTTTAATGACTAGTCTCAGTGAAATTCACGCCAAGAAATGTA